TGGCCAGTGGGAACCCGAGGCTGAGTCTCAGCGGGCCCCGCAAGTTGGTCCCACCGAACCCGGACAACCCCTACGCAGCGGGTGACAACCAGACCAACGCCCAAGCTGCCCAGCTGTTCACCGGCAAGAAATTGTCCGGGGTCAATTTCGTGCTTTACGGGCAATACTGCCCGGATTTAAGTCAATGCTTCGAGGTCAGCATTGATAACGCCATCTCGAGTGCCCGAATTTTCGGAGTGTGAGTAACCTCTGAACCCCGCCGCGAGAGCTAATATTCATGACTCGTAATTTTAGACGAGGAAAGTAAAAAAAAAAAAATGCTTATCTTCAGTATTTGATTTCTTTCGAACGTAGAAAGAACCGTTTTGCGTCATTGTAACGACGGTCGGGTGCAGATGTTTTTTTTTTAGTCAATAAGATTACTTTCAGTAATTATATTTCATCATTTGTTTTCACTCGATATCTTCTGGGAGATCTTGACTTAGGACAAAGAACAACTTCCAAATATAATTTGAATCCAGAAAAAGTATTCAAATCAATGTTCATTTGAAAACCTTATTGTGCTTCTTTTGTCCACTATCGCTTCCTTCCTATTGAACAAAATGGAACAATAATTGATGGAATTTTGAGTACGGTATAATAGTTCCTTCTTTGACCCAATACTTGGGTTTTCAGGAAAGCTACAGTATTTATGTTTCTTTGATTGAATGAGATTATCTCAAAGAAGTGATTTTATGAATTTAAAAAGCTTTTAATTTTCCGCCTGCCGGAATGCTTGTTATTTGTTCGGAATTGCGCAATTTCTGCTTTCAAAAGAACATTTTTTTCAATGGAATTAAATGCATGAAATCATCATGCGATGCAAACAAATTGTGCTGACATGAGTTTGAAAAAATTATGAATCAAAATATTTGCTAGGTAGATTTTTGAAGGCAGATCGTTGTTGAAAGTCGATTTTTTCCTAAAGAATTCTTCGGCCAAATGTGAGAATGCCAATAAATGGTCAAGATGAATGGGTAGTACCTGCTATCAGGTTCATGAATTTATTTTTCAGTTTTACGCAATATTGTACTACGCACCGACCAGATATAATTGCTGTACATCTTTTGTCAAAAATCTGAATGATCTCGTGACATTTATTTTTGATACTGTACTTATTTTGAACTAAATTTTTAATAAATTCTTTTTTCGCTTGCCTTAAACGTCGACATACGAAACACATACAGTATCGTCAAGTAAAAATTCATCGAAACACGAACGTAGGTGATTATAAAGCCTTACTCTTATTACTTTGTTTTTAATATTTTCATGATTTCATTTGATCACGATCTGATTATCTCTCAGTACGGTATGCAGTCATAAGCGGAATATTGAAGGTGCATCGCAGATTTTCCGACGAAACAGAATTTACTAATTTTACGCAAATTTCAGCGAAACTCCAGAACGCGTATTTTGTCAAAAACAGGCATCAAGTGCCAATAGAGTTAAGCGAAACTGAAAACAGCGACTCTCGAAATGAATACTGTAGTCAGGAAAACAGAGCCAAAGAACCCGCGTCATTGGAAAATATAAAGTCAAAGGAAATACTTTCTTTGATCAAAGCAAATCCCTTTAGTTCTCTCGTTTGCCATGACAATTTAAGTTGTGGAAATGCTTAAAATCTAGCCTACAATAAGCTAACGAACTTCACTAAGTTCATAAGCACTAAAGTGCTTTTCTTGGCGCTAATTTCCCACATAACGGGGGTTCTGTTTGGCGCTGCTTACCTTGCTCTAGATAGATACATGGCACGTAAAATCCACAATAAAAGCTGATTTAATTTGTTGACGGCATTTCCTCCGAATTGTTATGCAAAACCACTTTCTGGTTCGTATACAGGTGGGCATTTTATGCCGGTTATGGATACGGCGTGAATGATGACCTGGAAGTGTCTTGGGTCTGGGGGAAAGACTATCACTACGATTTCTCGGAACTGAATGACATGGTGTCGTCTTTGCGATTCATCGGACCGGAAAACGACTTTTTGGCAGACTCAATAACGCTCTACAGCCAGGAGTACTTCAAAGCCTGGGAATATTTCGTGGCCACAGACATGCAACGTTTGCCGGACTGGGAATATTTTGCCAATTCTGCTGCCGTCACTGGAGCCTCACCCTGGACAATTTACGAGTTCAGTGAATTTTATGTCGCTGGAGAAACCCCTAGTTTAATTTTTGACCAGTTTCCGGAAGCAGTTGCTCAAATTTTTAGGACTGCATTTCTTTCATCATATTCATTCGATTGGTTTTTTTTCTCTCTCTCTTTCGGCAGGTTTGACTTTTTCCAGGGAAAGAGCTTGTGCCTGTTCCCGGCTCCTGATGGAAACCCAGGTCTGTTCCCAACAAAGCAGACAATGGGATTGAGTGTCATCATGTCAGTGAGGAAAGGCTGTTACTCGAATGTTCGTCTTTCGCCGATTCAGCTTCGCAAAAACCAAATCACGTCGTCTAGGAACGTGACCAAAAGATCGTTGGATGTTCAACAGTGAAGCTGATTGACCTAGTGATGGTTAGAAAAAGGAAATTCCTTGAGAATCCATTCGTCGGAGACGTGAATGGTCGATTTCTAAAATCTTCTGAATAGTTCACATTTCTGATGGTCAGTTGACATTCCATTTTGAGCGAAAAAGGAATTCACAGCTGTTCACAGTAGCAGGGCTCTCGTGCACAAATGGAGCCTTCCATATTTCGCGCGTAGCAGAAGGTCGAATTTCGGGGAAGAAAAACGAANTGAATGGTCGATTTCTAAAATCTTCTGAATAGTTCACATTTCTGATGGTCAGTTGACATTCCATTTTGAGCGAAAAAGGAATTCACAGCTGTTCACAGTAGCAGGGCTCTCGTGCACAAATGGAGCCTTCCATATTTCGCGCGTAGCAGAAGGTCGAATTTCGGGGAAGAAAAACGAACACTGATGATTTCAATAATATTTCTTTACCTAGTGGGAATTTCTGAACACGATCACCAACGTCTGGTTTTTTTTAATGGAGAATTCTTGCAGATAAATAAAAGCGCGTGATACATTTCTGTCGAATTGCAATTAGTGTACTTTTACTCGTTCACGTAGAAATATTATTTGACAAAATCTAAGCAACATTCAAGTAAATCTTGGAGCAACTGAGATAATACGAAAAACGTTTTGCATGAGGGAGTGGGTTATCCATTAACATTAATGAAATACAGTAAAAAGTACTTTTCAGCTTGGTATACAGTCCCAATTTTGACTATATTGTAGCATGCAATTGACTTTTGCTTAGAAACTTGATAATACCCGCATTCAATCACTTGCTAACTACAAAAATCTTGAAATGACCTCTAAAATTCCCACCAAAGAACATTTTATGCACAGTGGTTCTGGAAAAATAGCGCAGCAGATTTCAAAATTACATTTTCTATGAATCGCTTCTCGAAATCATAAGACGTCAATAAAATTGTCATTGGAGCCTTAAATTAGAATCTCTACTTGAGCAGCTACTTTGAAAAATAAACATGCAGTTTTATCTTCTGAAATTTCGGTGTATATAGCTGAATATTTGCAAAATATGACATGTGGAAGAGCTAGGACTCGAATGCTTCGCTTGTTAAAGAATTTACAAATAGGTATACAATGTGAATATTTCTATAAATTAAGTATTGTACATGCAGATTCGTGCCATTTTTTTCCTCGAAAAGTGCTGAAGAACGGAGCGTGGAGCGACATCTAACAACGGGAGATCTATTAACCGAAATCTGCCGTCAGAGGAAGAATCAACCCAGTAAATGTGGATGTCATGCCTTTGAATTGGTGGTACTTGAGACAGCTGGCCTAATAACCTTCCTTCGAAATATTTCCAACAGAAAAATGTCGACTGGAAGCTCTCATAAAAAAACTGATTTATTCCTTGATTTGTGAATGATCGAGGCTAAAAAAAAATTTTTTCAAAGCGCGCTGCCAACTCCGTAGTCGAAATCCCACCAGTTTTTCCTGCTGCCCTCACTCACATGGTCCACCAGAACTTGTCTTCGAGAGCTACAATAGGTCAACTTGTCATGGACCTTCTGCTTCACGTCAGAGAAATTATCCGTCGTGATATCGCGCTCCAGATACTCGCTGAGAGTCTCAGTCGCAGTCTCCAAGTCGCTCTGATTGCCCTCAAAAATGTCTCCCTGATTGCATTTCTTCAAATAGTATGCAAAAACGTAGGTGTGCTTCAGAGTTTGTCGGCACTCGAGCAGCACGTCCACGGCACGCTTCAGAAAGTGCAGGTCAACCCAGGTCAAGCGGGGCTGAGCTGCGATGACCTCTTCCGCGCGTCGACGCACGACGTCGTACAATTGCCGTTCGAACTCCACGGATTTCCGGTGGTTCACGAACCGGGAATAGTAGTGTAAGTAGCGGCTCAGATGCAGTCTTGACGCCTTTTGAGCATCTCTTGCAGCCTGGAAAATAAATTGAGATTCTTCAAGAAAAGCTGAAAGCGAACGTGATTGTCTAATTTTTCTTATTGTATTACAGATGGACTCACTCTTTACAACGATCTTGTATACTAGGATTTTATTTGTAGAACGATTTTTTTTGTCCCATTGGTTTCGCTACCCATGTTAGGGTTCTTTATATACCACAAAATTCTCTACAGCAAATTTTCTCTCGTCTCTTGAGTTTCGTTTTGGAGAGAGAGTTCTAGTTGAACTTCTTGAGAAGTTATTGATGCTTGAACTTTTCGAAGCATCCTTTTTAGCTTACTGTATATGACAGTAAACGGAATGACCTTTGAACTGAACCCAAGCGGGATCCCAATTGAATATATTGGATGCTCGATTGAATCCCTAATCCTTCAACTGTCATAAAAAGGAGATGCCTCACAGATTCTAAACCCGTGCTGCCAAACTCAGATTGGTCAAAGGGTCACCATAATAATTTTTTTCCCGAGGGTCGCATCTCAGAGGTATAGAGAGTACTTATGGACAACGATGGACAACAACTTTTATTAACCCTCGGAAAACATAAAAATGAAGCTATAATGCAAAAAATCATCGAACACAGCGAAATACTGAACATAGCATTATTTGGAATGTATAAGAGGAGTTGGACAAGGCAAGCGATTGTCACCGACAAATATTTGTGGGACTTCCATTTCCTAGAGGCTGCAAATGTTCCCGTTTTAAATACCAAGTTTNAATAGGTCAACTTGTCATGGACCTTCTGCTTCACGTCAGAGAAATTATCCGTCGTGATATCGCGCTCCAGATACTCGCTGAGAGTCTCAGTTGCAGTCTCCAAGTCGCTCTGATTGCCCTCAAAAATGTCTCCCTGATTGCATTTCTTCAAATAGTATGCAAAAACGTAGGTGTGCTTCAGAGTTTGTCGGCACTCGAGCAGCACGTCCACGGCACGCTTCAGGAAGTGCAGGTCAACCCAGGTCAAACGGGGCTGAGCTGCGATGACCTCTTCCGCGCGTCGACGCACGACGTCGTACAATTGCCGTTCGAACTCCACGGATTTCCGATGGTTCACGAACCGGGAATAGTAGTGTAAGTAGCGGCTCAGATGCAGTCTTGACGCCTTTTGAGCATCTCTTGCAGCCTGGAAAATAAATTGAGATTCTTCAAGAAAAGCTGAAAGCGAACGTGATTGTCTAATTTTTCTTATTTTATTACAGATGGACTCACTCTTTACAATAACGAGCTTCGTTCTACAACTACGATTTTAGTACGTTGTAGAATTTTGTTGTTGTCCCGTTGGGTTTGCTACCCATGTTATAGGGGTTCTTTATATACCACAAAATTAATCTACCGCGAATTTTCTCTCGTCCCTTGAATTTTGTTGTGGAGAGAGCGAGTCCACCTAAGTCGACCCTGTTGAGAAGTTATTCATGCTAGAACTTGTCGAAGCATCCTTTTTAGCTTACTGTACATGACAGTAAACTGAATGACCTTTGAACTGAACCCAAGCGGGATCCCAAATGAATATATTGGATGCTCGATTGAATCCCTAATCCTTCAACTGTCATAAAAAGGAGATGCCTCACAGATTCTAAACCCGTGCTGCCCAACTCAGATTGGTCAAAGGGTCACCATAATACTTTTTTTTCCCGAGGGTCGCATCTCAGAGGTAGAGAGTACTTATGATGGACAACGATGGACCACAACTTTTATTAACCCTCGAATAACGTATGTAAAAATGAAGCTATAATGCAAAAAATCATCGAACACAGCGAAATACTGAACATAAATGGAGATTACACTGAACATAGCATTATTTGGAATGTATAAGAGGAGTTGGACAAGGCAAGCGATTGTCACCGACAAATATTTGTGGGACTTCCATTTCCTAGAGGCTGCAAATGTTCCCGTTTTAAATACCAAGTTTCAAATTTCATTTAGTTCCTTGCATTATTTCACAAGCATAGCGTAATAGAAACCTTGGAGTGAGAGACACAATTTTGAAGCTTTAAAATTCAGATTCAGTCTCTGCGGAACGGACCCGGTCCGCTGGCCGGATGTTGGACAGCACGTTCTAAAAGAATATGCTTTAAGAGATGAGAAAAAATTCAAGATCCTCAGCGAACTTAAAGGAAATTCAGGCGACATCTATACGACGACGTGGTAGATTAGAGCCGCTCATGGTAGTAGTTACAGCAAATTATCGATAATTCAATGGAACAAAAATAAGTGAATAAGTAAGACTTAATCGCATCAATCAAGACGTAGATGAGGTTGAGGACAACTGAAAATTATGTAAAATACTAAAATATAATATACTCATGCATTACATATAAAGAAAAATACATATTTATAATCTTTTTTTTAAACCTGGGCTTCAGTTGCATCGAAGCGATTGCAGCTGTACCACGACGACCCGTGCGACTCCCAAGGTCCGAGACACACCCAGCAAAAATCGTACTTGCAGCTAGGACTTTTGCACATGACGTGATTGCACCCGCCATCCTTCTCGATTGGCACGTGACACCTGGGACATTCCTTGGTATTGGTGGCGATCCACTGCAGTGTCGGGCCGTCGCGTTCGGATTTGCGAAGCCAGTGGGCCAGGGCCACGCAGGTTGAAGGCTCATGCCATTCTTCGCCGCAGGCTACGCAGAAAACTGCACCACACAAACAGGTAACCTTTCGTGCCACACCCCTCAGTCCTTCAGGGAGAGAGATAGAGAATTAAAAAAACATATGAGAAACGTGTTATTTCGTATCGTCAGATTCAATCGATCAAAAACAGGCATCCACGATGATCCAACGGTTTCAGTGAACCTCAAGTAGGAAAAAAGGAGTCGACATCCAGACAGACGGACTTCATAATTTCAAGTTTTTCAAGAATAATGAAGTAAACGATGGTCTCAAGATAAAATACTCGTACTGCATTACATCAAATCATTTTTTAAACTAGAAACAGCGCATTTCGCAAAATCTGCTGTGACACAAAATGAGTCAAAAACCTGTACTTACAGCAGCTAAACGCGTCAAGATTGTAATTCTCTTTCCCAGAGAATATATTTAAATTCAGAATATGGTTCCCTGATGTTGGGCAATCGTCTCAATTGCGGAAGTCGGGTATTCCTTTCAAGTTGAGGATAAATATTTGGATTATAGTCTTTTCTTCATTCATGGGTTTTATTCTCGAGTTGTTCTGCTCATAATTTTTATAACACGAACTCAGTTGCACTTGGAAAACCAGTTTTAAATTTCAGCCGTGGGTTCTGCTCACGTGTGACTCATTCCCCATTTTTTCAAAATCCGCTTTAAAAAAAATGAAATTGTGCGTGGCATGCGAGTGAATGAGGTAAATTTCATTCAGAAATCCAAAACTTGAGTTAGAATCCTCCAAGAGAGGGAAAAATGTTGTCCTTTTGGTTGAAACGCTTGCACCTCCGGATTCAAAACGAATTATCAATTTTGAGAAGGATAGGATCTCAGATTCAAGTCAAGGAGTTTTTCTTTTTTTCTATGACGGTTGTCCTGAAGCGGAAGGGAGGTTTTGCTCACTACTACGAGGGTTCATTCATAAGATTTGAGACTTTTTGAAATAGATTCAACAGAGTTTCAACAATTCCAATTTTAACTCGCATAGTCCCATCATTTGACAGCGTTTCAGTGTTGTTCAACATACTCTCCGCCAATTTCAATACATTTTTCCATGCAATAAATTCAGCAATCAAAACAGTGCACAAAATAGAGTTCAGTTAGTCGATTAAAGCTGCTCATTGATGGTGGAAATAAGGCTGTCCCGTTTGTCAAAATCTATCCCTTTCATCTTGTTCTTCGCTGTTGGGAACAGCCAGAATAATTCACAGAGGGTGATTAATCAAAAGATAGGACTCAACTTTTTTCACGGTTCTGATAATTGAATTCATTGCATAACAAAATGCATTGAAATTGGTGGAGAGTATGTTGAACAGCAGCACTGACGTTTTAGCAAAGATGAGGCTATGCGATTAAAATAAAATTTTTAAATTTTAGAAAATCTGTCATTGACCTTTTTTAAAAAGTACCAAAACTTATGAGCCAACCCACTCTGCTAGGCGTTACGCACGATGAGATTCGCCAAAAAATAACTGGCCAAAATCTCGAAAATGAATTCAATTTAGAAAAGAAAATAATATTAAAAGCCCTATATATTTAAGCCGAATCCAAGTCGAGGTCCACTAACCTATACCTTCCCGCACACGAACTGCAAATTCGCAATCCGGAGCCGGACACCACTTGACACTCTTGTGACTGTCCACATAAGAATTGACCAGGAATCTCGCGTACAGTTGCAATGCGTGCGAATCTGCACTCAGCAGCGACTCAATCTGCTCATGGGAAACGAGTTGTTCGCAATCACTTTGAGGACATGTCGCCCATTCGTTCATGGTGCCGCTGAGAATGCGCGATGAAATGTAGTCCCTGTAACAGTCCCTGCAAAATCGGTGCCCGCAACCCGCGTCTTCTCCGCGCCACGTGGGTTTCGCGGGTTCCATGCAAATTCCGCACTCGAATGTCGTCGGCAGGGAGGATTTACTCTTGGCAGAACTTCGCCTCTTTGTCGGGGATCCTGGTGCACTGCTGTTTTCGCCTTCCTTTTCCGCTACAGCTGAAGAAATGAATAAAAGATGCCGCTGAAGAAAGATAACGCGTGTATAGTTTAATACTGGCATTCTGTGTTATGTCCATTTAAACCGTCAGAGCACTGGACCATTTTGGAGGCTAAAAGTAGCAGTATAATATGAAAAGGCAACAGATTGGATCACTGGTAACACTGGACGAATGACGTGAAGTAATGCACAAAAAATAATAGTAGGTAGTTAAATGAGTTTGCAGCATAACTGAAAATTTCCGTTGACACCTTGGTTACTTGAATGTACGCGGAAAAATATTCTCGTATGTTACCAATTGGCTACTATAAATCAAAATGAATCGTTCGTTTTTAAGGCATGATACGATTTCAAATTATATAAGCTATGATGTTTTGGACTATCACAATGGTTCCATTGAAAAGTCTGAAACTCCGTTATCCATCAGTACGAGAATTCGTTTCAAGTTTTAACGCGTTCTAAAATAACGAAGCTGGTGAACGAATTATTTGAAGAATATATGAACAAAACAGATTCTGAAACACGTTAAAATTTGAATCAAGCCTTTTTTTTCTTCGTACACGCGAAGGATTGCAAACCTCTTCCCATTTTTATGAAACTGTTGAAGAGGAATAAAATGCTCAGGGAAACCAACCTGATAAATAATTTTATGTCACCCAAATTATAGGCAAGAACTGAAGGTCGTTCACTCGAAAATTTTTCTAAAGCAAATGTCGCAATAAAAAATAAATGTTCAGCAAACTTTGTCCAGCTATCAGGTGACAAGAGAAAATTCTAGCATCAACACATATATTTACCAGTGAAAATAAAGGCCTGAGAACAATTCCACTGAATGTAGAATGTTGGAAGAAAAGCGGCCTGAAGGAAAAAAAAAGGTTTGATTAAGGAACGTCGATTTTTGTAATAGTCAGACGTGATGTAACTCAATAACTGATAGGTATAATGAGAGGAATAGGTTTTAGTCATTCACTTTTATTTCGTTCTTTTTTGTCCTTTCATTTAGCCTGATATCTATTTTTTATTTATTTTTCATGATCATTGTCTCTGACATCGTCATATCATCAATGCCGGGATTTTCTCGTGACACCGTTGTTGGATAAGGAAGAAATCCGATTCGGAAAATATTAGAAAATAAAACAACAAACTTTTGTCAATCCCGGCATCGATCATCATTTGCACAGCGTTCTCGGGCCCTTCGTAGTATTTTTCCAACAAGCTCTCCTTGTCCCAGCCGTGATGCAGGAGTAAGAGTCTCGTGACAGCATCGGCCCTCCCGTCTTTGTTCTCATTGCCTTCCAAGGCTGAGCAAAGATAATACTGTTATTTAATAATATACGAATGATTATTCATCTGTTCAAGTACTGCTTATATAAGCAATTAAAATTCCTGACCAACCCGAGGCTTATTTAGTCTCAGTACTTCGGTATAAAGACAGAGGAGGTCCGATTTTCCGGAAAATTAATAAACGTGTACAGCAGAATCTCGTGACAACGAAGCGTTTGGGACCTTGAAAAATGTGCATCTTATAAACAAAAATTCTCAACAACGTAATGACATTTTGGCTTTTGGACATAGACAAAAAACAAATTCGTTGTTAGCATTTTAAGACATTATAAAGAGATGATTCGTTGCAACGAGATCCTATTGTACACCAATTCCCAAGAGTTCAACGCTTCGAAAATGTAAACGAAGGTGTCACTACAAATCAACTCGAACGATTCAGCTTCTTGAATCGAGAGGAAAGTAATCAATGAAAAAAATTGTACTCGGACATTTCGTATCTGCAGTTCATTACTTATGTAATGCTTGTTGTACTTCATTTACCTTTATTTTTGCAATTTTCATTTTTGGGTCAGCGTTAGCGACACCTACTGTCGATTCACCATGTCACCTACAATTCTTAGTTTATTTCAAAAGCTGCGTTTTTAAAAGTTACAATGAAAAGAAACTAGAGTAATTTTTGCATGAAACTAAATTCGGATCCATTTTGGATGCTTTAAAATTGGTTTCTGGTGGACGAAATATCACAAGAAAGCCTCGATTTTCTCAAATAGGGAACGGACAATGATCGAGGAAAAAATATCTTCGAGGCTCGTCAATAAACTATCACGATAATTAAAATCCGAAATTCTTGAATAATTTTCTCATAATTAAGCTTAAATTTTACGAATACATTAATGATATACCGTATATGCACATGATCCTCCTATGCCTCGTCATTTTTTATGCTGCAGTATAACAAAAATCAGCAATTCATTGGTAAAACAGATGGCACATTATATTAGGCTTAGCATAGCACTCGAAAAGATACGGTAAACATACGTATCTTTTCGAGCCCCTCGTTTTTGCAAAAA